AAAATTTCAAGTTGAGTTGGTAAGTAGGTAAATTATTTTTTCTTTCTGACAGCAGTTTTGAAAATACATTCTGAAAATTGAATAATATCTCTATAAATAAGAAAGAACAAAAGAAACCGATATTTTACCCGAAGATCATACAAATGAAATTTAAAAGCAACATGTATGGTAAATTAATTCACAAATATTCATTTGAACTTGTGAAATATCTCAGGCCAGCGTAAATTTATTGAAATTGAATTTTTACAAAAAGACAAGATTCGCAAATACTCAACCATCTGCCATCCGAGTATATTTGTTTTCAAACCTATCATCTTCGAGTGCTTACACAGATAAAATGTCAAGGGCCTTGCGTGGCGAAGTAATTCTAGTGATTCGTTTTGAAGTCGCGACGTAATTCAGGAGCTTATTCTAAGTCACAGGTCCCGACGTGGGGCGTGGAAACTAGTCAGTCAAATGAGACCGTAAAAAACGTTGGGCCATGCAGTGTCACAGTATACATGTAGATGTTGGCACGATAAAGATCCCTTACTGATGCTTTATGATCAATAGCCATAAGTGCCGAGTAAAAGTCTAAATTAGGAGCCCTCCACCAGGCAGGTGTCCAAATGCTGTCAACCCAGCAATTTTTAAAGGTGTTTTAAAGCAAAGAAACAACCTATTTTCAAGGGCCCAACTAAAGAAAAGAAAAATAACTGGACGTCTCAGAAAGCCGTACCATAAGCCAACTTTAAAGATTTCAACACTATTTGAAAAGAGAGTACCTGTATAAACAATATTTAATTCAACCAAACCATATCTAAAATGATTAAAGTTTCATATATCTAATGTTATAGTCACGAAGTTTACCCCATAAATAAAAGGAATGAAGAAACGACATCCGAATTATATTCATCGAGATGAAATAATTATACAAAGATTTATTTACAAATCCTATGGTCCTATATAGTAAAAATAGAATCATACATGAAGTGTTTTTTAGATCGAAACGAATGAAATGGAGTGAAATTTATTGATATGCATACACAAATTGGGCCCCTCCTCTGCTCATGAGGCAAGCTTTGTCATGCTTACTACGTAAGTTAATTTAGAAGACACATTTGTAAATACCATCTTAACACTCCTTAGTCATGGTATATTTAATTCACGAAATGTTTCCAGAGCGTAGGATTCTAATAAGTTAAAGATGTATATTAAGATTGATACATCGCCATTGTTTATAACACTAGATATATAACCCTCTGTGGCCACATGTTGTGGGCGCTAAATGAGAGTAAAACAAAAGCCACCGTTCTGATAAAAAACGAATTTTGATGAAATTGTGTTTTATAGAGTTGATAAACAATAAAAATAAATATTTGAATAATCTTATTAAAAAAACTTTTCAGTCGGCACGATTTAAGTGGGTCGGTCGCGTTAGGGGAAACAAACCTATTTTTTTTATTTTGGCCTAATGTTCTATATACATGTGCATGTTAGTTGCTCATCAGAAATTTCATGTAGCATGCACCCAGCATATGAATATTAAATTTGCAACACAAAATAATGGTCTATTATAGGTTCGTTTTTCAGTATTGTCTAGGTAATAAAGCATTGCATTAGAATAAGTGAAGTTTTTTTATCATTTTTTTTTCCAAGTTAATTTAGAAAATGGTAAAACTTCCAGTCAAACTCAACGCATCCTTATCTTCCTGTAGTCTGTATAAATAAGTAACTTTTTTCTTGACAATTCTATCGTGTCTTATCGTGTGTATATCCTATCGTATCGTGCTGGTATATCCTATCAGACAGGTTTTTCGTTTATCGTATCGCATGTTTTGCGTTTATCAGGTTTTCCGTTTGTCGTGTGCATTCGGAAGACTTCTAATTTTACCGCCTTTTCTGGAAGTATTCTTATGTACATAAACTAGAGATTAAGAAAAAACTAATAATAGAAATCGGTTTTGGGAAGAAATATAAATTAAAGGAAATTACGATAAATGTGAAGATTTAATTAAATGCACATACGTATCATCAGGATCTTGTACAAATAAATTAATGAAGAGTTGTTTACTGGAATTGTTAATTGACAGTTTCGATAAACGATGATATTTTAAAAATAAAATTTATCTTATCTGCTATATTTCGATGTTATTTTGATGTTTTAAATACATTTTTTGGACAGAAAATATTGATAAAATAAGAATTAAAAGACTTCTTTTTGTAATGCCAAGCAGGGTGTTTATCCCGTTAAGTAAAAATATGTAAAACTTAATTCAGGTCAAATTTGAATCCATAAGGAATGAGGAAAATCGCTTTTATTTATGAGGAAAATCGCTTTTATTTACATTTAAATGTTCTAACTAACTATCCTTTCACCCCCCCCCCCCCCAAAAAAAAAAAAACTCTCGAAAGGCAGGTACAAAAAATTAATAAAGTACATTGTATATGTACTATCATTCCAATAACAGCGTGTCAGTTTGCTTAATCGACCGTAGTAAATTTTCACAAATTGATTACCATATTACTCATGGATTGGATGTTTGATTTCAATGAAATCAATACTACTGTGCATGTGAAAGACAGAATCCAGCAATACCACTGACAATACTGACCAATCACATTGAATGGTTGTTTTCCATTACGTCATTTGTAGGAAGCAGCAACACGTGGTCAGTGAAAGCCGTTTTCTGTTCCCAAAAAAGCACTTTCATATTTGGTTGTGATTTGACCGGGTGAAGTTAATACTAGTACAAGAAAATTTAACGCATGGAATTAGTAAGGCTACTCTGCTACTATTATGCTATATAGCTAAGCAGGTTTCAAGAGAAATCTAAAGAAAAAGAAGCATTTTAGTCCTCCATCTACCGTGAAAGAAACACCAGTGATTTGTATTAATCAACAAAATTTATTAAAGCTTAATGAGTTTATCTTTCGACCGTTTCTTCCTTGTACATGTACTAAAGGTTAAATAGCTAAACCTAATTAGGAACTATATTTCTATTACAACATGACATTATGGATATAGGAAGTAAAACTTGCTTTGCCTGTCCACGTGTAATTGTTGTTTACTGTATACTCGTGAACAATCATTCAATACGATTGGTCAGTATTGTCAGTAGTATTGCTGGATTCTGTCTTTCAAATGCACAGTAGTATTGATTTCATTGAAATCAAACATCCATCGATTCTACGGTCGATTTAGTAAATTGACACGCTGTTATTGGAATGATAATCAAAAGGGGGTTGGGGGGCTGTTTTATGATAATATTGTGTGACGTAAGTTGTAACGTCTAAACTCTACCACACCTTCTTATAAACGCTATCACACCTTATAACAAACTGTTCGTGAAAAAGAATTGTATCTACTCTTTAAATTCTTTATGATGAAAAAGCATGATTGTATGGCTAAGGCTCATATAAAATCAAGCGGGGTTGCAAAAAAAAAAAAAAAAAAAAAAAAAAAAAAAAGTTTACATGTAAATCACATGACTTTTATTTAAAAAAAATACAGATATTATTCGTATTAAAAACCACCAAACGCGATAAGCTGCCTCCTGCCTGCTTTACGGTCTTAAGCTTGAGTCGTTAAATTATATTTATGTCATTTTCTTAAATCCCAAAGCGTGAAAAAATTATTCTTTTCTTTAACCACTGAATTTTAATCCCTGTATTATCGATCTTAGAAAGAATATTCTGTCAAACTTTTATGAACTATCTTATATAAAGCGAATTCTTTTAAACGTCTATAAGTTTTTACAAAATAACAAGTTAATTGGTTATATTAGTTTTTCACTTTTCTTTTTTTTCTGTTTCTTTTTTTTTTCGAATGTGGATGCGAATAAAAAGGAAAATTATCCGGCAATTAGTTTGATGAGATCCTAGACAATTTTATTTTCACAAGAAGTGCCCATATGTACACTTTTCAATTGGCAATCATTCGACATTTCTTAATCTGATAGAAGAGGTGCAATCGACCGAGTGATATGTTGATTAAGAAAAGAATGACGTATTTCTATTAAAGTCATGAAAACTTTATAACTTATATCTTTTCAATATTTCTGAGACTACATGCTTGTTTAGGTAGCAGCGATTTACTTCAAAATTAAACCAAGTAATCAAATTGATTTATATTCAAGCCTATTAGAACGGGAAAAATAACGGAGGAAGGTGTTTCTATGAGAAAAAAAGGTACATGTATATGTATTTGACTCCCTTCGCACAGCACTGCATCAGATAAACATACAGCAAGTGTCAAAGAGAAAATTTATTATGCATACCAAAGAAATGTCCTTAATTTGGAGAAAAGAAAGGTTGAAAATTGGTACGCATATGTGCTGATAATTAAGCTTTGTTTAGAAAAACTACGAAAATATTTACGAATTTTAATGCCTTAAATTTTTACATGCGTTTTTATTGCTGTGAAAATGTACGCACATAAGTCCTAATGGAACACGTAAAAATTAATAAATTAGCTATACCAAAAAATATATCCTAGGCCTTATGTGCTCAATGCATGAAGAGGACTACAGTGTAAGTAGGTAAGTAAAAATATATCCGACAAAAGGTATTTCAGTCTTCTCTCAGTTGTTTTCATACCATTAAAATGGTAAAATTAAAAAAAAAAATTGAATTAATAAATAATAATAGATATATACAATGTATGTACATAGTTTATTAACTAATTAAAATAGTTATTAATGTAGCTACATATTGTATTTTGTTTTGTACATAATAGTCTGTAATTTTAAATTACCAATCGTGTATCCCATCAGGTTATGCGCTTATCGTGTTTTTGCGATATATATGAAAGTATTATTTCATTTCTTTCTTTAAAAACATGAATAGAGGCATGGGTATTTATATTTATGTACTTTCCTTAAAATCGGTAAAGGTATGCTGGTGACATCTATATTAGTATTATAGTGTAAAGAAAAAAACAGTAGAATTACAGTGCAAAGGAAAAACAAACAGCTTATAGAAACTGAAATTAATATAACTAAAGTTGTTTTCGTTTTAAGTTGATTTAGCACATGGTAAAACTTCCTATCAGACTCTAAGTGCTCCTTTGGATCCACAAGACCCAACTCGGTTTATTTCAAGCAATGCAGTTGATAGAGACCCATCCTCCTGCACACGGAACTATGAAATAGGACGAACCTCCCCACACACAAGTGTACTTTGGAGAGTTAACTTGGGTGATATCTACAGTATTTACAGTATCAGGATACTTTTCAAAGACTATGGCTCAGTATACGGTATATGTTTTTTTATATATAAATCATAAGCTTTTACCTAGTCTCTGATGTTTGTCTTCATTGATTCCATATTTTTGTGATTTTAAAAAAATAAATATCAAATTAATCAAAGTTAAAACTATAATGAATGAAAAAAAAACTAACGATTACCTTGTGTTGTGCGTTCCAAATAATTTACAAATAACGGAAGAGAACCTATTTAGATTATTTCCATTAAAAACTATAGTTTCTCTTTTTTCTTTTTCTTTTCTTTCTTTTTTTGGGTTATTTTAGTCATACAAAAGCTAAAAATACAAACTTCAAGTGATGTGGTCATTAGTTTTGGGAATATCCAGAAAAGGTGCTTGCTAAAAAGTTTCCTTTGTAAAAGTTGTGATGATTCCAATTATTAAAATTTATTTACTTGCACCATATGTCCTATTTCAGACATCAGTGTACGCAACGTAGTTTGAACTTTATTGCCCTTTTCCCTGGAGTTGAAGAGTTCCAATACTTAAAGAAATTGTGTGCTACATTTTAATGTCTATATATGCTGTTGTACACTTCTTCTAAAACAAGTTTGGGTGAAAAAAACATTTAGAATATATGTATAGTAATTTTTGTATATTTTTCTTTGAATTATACAAGAATTTTTATCAATTGATATATTTCAAAACCCCTGGTAATGCAGGCTGATTTTTTTGTCTTCGAACATCTGATGACACTATATTTTTAAATTAAGAATATCTTGAAAAATTATCAGTAGGTAAGGTACGTTGCGTATGTCCTTAAGTAGAGACTTAGTGCTTTCATTTCCTATGAAAATGGTTTCCTCTGAAATTCCAGGTATTGAAAATAGGCTTTGTGAATTTGCAATTTTCTAATTTTTTTCAGGAAACAGGTGTATTCGAGTACCTCCAGGAAAAAATTAAGACATGAGCACCCTCTCCTAAAAATAAAATTTGTTTTGTAATCTTCAGAAACAGTTCTATCATTACATGATTGCACACTTTGGATCAAAGGTTGTGCTCTATACAAAATATTGAAAAGCGCCTTGGAAATTTGGTCATTTCTGAAGAAATTTTCAGGAAATGGGAATGTTGACGGAATTAATGACATTATGTATTGACGAGTGAGAAAATTGCGTCATTTACAATAGAAATGCTTTCGACAAGGGCCAAAGTGATATTTGATGCACTGTCAGCTAAAACTAAGCAATTTTGATTTTTCAGAAATTCACAGGGCCTAAAATATAGCTGCCTAAACTTTTAATAGACATTCAAGGAGCTAATAATGTCAACGCCTGTCATGACACATGACCTAGGTTTATGAATTTTCATCCGAAAAAGCCACAATTTTCTCACGAAAGTATCACCGTTCACAGTAGCTCAGTCGGTGGAGCGCTCGCTCCGTGATCGGGAGGTCGTGAGTTCGAATCTCGGCCGCGACTGACCTAAGTCGATAAAAAAATGGGTAGCAATTTTTCCTTCGCCATGCGCTCGGCACTTTGAAGTGAAAGTTGCTGGTCCTTCGTATGTTACCTTAAAAACTGAGGTCCCGTGTCACGGCAGGCGTTGGCACGATAAAGACCCCTCACTACTCAATGGCCCTGAGTGCCGAATAAAGGTCGAAATTTGAAGCCCTTCACCGGTCTATGGTGACGTCTCTTTATGTGTAAAAAATTCTCGAATGGGCGGTAAAACAACATACAATCAATCATGAAAGTACCGTGCGTTTTACAAAAAGCAGTTACGTCATATTTTTATTGACTGAGGTTTGTTGAAGAGACCCTCACAAAGCATGCTGTCTGTCAAATATTGAACGGTCTCCAAAATGAGAACAAATTGTTTGGGGGGAAATCTTATTTCGCTTTTTTCTTTCCAGACAGGTAACATTAATTTCGTTTGGAGAAAATGACGTAAAATCGTTCGTATGGGACATCTTAAATACGTTAGATCACAGACGAAAATGAAAAAAAAAACTGTCCCTCATCCTCCTCTTTCTCTTTATTACATTTCTCTGTAACATGCACTTCACATTTCCACACTTAAAATTCGTATCGAATTTTGTTTAAATGTAAGGAAATTTATATTTATCCAATAATAGCTTGTGCATGTAATGAATGATGGTATAGAATATTCGATCTAATGTAAAATTTAAAGCGCTAACTTACTTCACTGTTAAATATTCAAATCGATGAAATTGTAGTATTTTCTATTTATCAAGTTAAAGCAAGGCTTAAAATACACTTGCCAAGGACGCAGTCAATCGGATAAAGTAATACCATGACTATTCTTAGTGTTAATAGGCGATAATACTCCTACTTTGTATTGCTAGCATGTTTGTCATCGGCTACGATATTAAAATGAAAAAGTAGCATTATGATGGTTTAGGAATTATTGACTGCTTGATTTCCTGGTAGTAGTAGAGATTTGTTTATGCATATAGCAGATAAATCACATTAATTCTTATTTTAAACAAATTCTTCAGAGAAGCGACAAAGAGGACGATTTGCGGGATTTTCCATTCATATTTCAAACTCCACCGATAGAGACAATTGGTTTCTTTGTTACAAGGACAAGTCTGGGTTACCCCCCTTGGATTTCAGTACCACATGCATGAAACATGGTCGTTACGTCATTTATTACAATGAAAGATTAAAGAACATTACCTATCCTGTTGGTTACCAAACTACAATCATAACAGAGTTATGCGAAGTGATAGTGCATGGTAAGCAACTTCCTGTACGTCTGTCTTGTTGATGGTTTGTAAGTATTTGCGTGGACCCTGAGGTCCACGCAGAAAATATATAAGCGGGGTTTAACCGGATGCCATGGGCTTACGTCAGGCTACGCCTGCGCAAGAATGCTAGAGAGTCTCTAAAACAACTTAATTGCCCTTAGAACAATTCGCCCTTTACGAATTAGAATATGCGAATCATTGGCAAACCTCGCTCTAAAATCTGCACATCGTATTTATGTATTCTTTGGCGTAACCAAGATCCGAATTTCTCTTTTATACATATATCCTTATAAACAAACTAAATTCTATGGTACAAGCATTTTAAATAAGTAGGAAGAACTTATATAGATAACTTAACAGCTTGAACATTGTTGAACTACTAGGCTTTAAAAGCTAGTTTTTACCATGTTAACCGGCATTAGTTTTGTGCATCAAGGTTCGCAAATTAAATTAATAGACAGCAATCCAAATATAGCTTGATAAAGGCCTGTAGCAACGTGTTTCCATGTGGGGGAGAGGGAGAAACATAAAAAAAAATCTGCGTACTACAAATCTGTGCTACACGTGTACCATCTTAGAATGTCATCCGGATAAATCTAGTACAGATGTCAACATGGTCAAGTCCCAGCCGTTATTGGTTACATGTATCGAAATAGCCCGATTTTTTTAATGACAAAACTATAGACCATACAATCGGGGATAAAATTTAACAATTTTGCTATGATAGTACAACCACTCAAAGTAGACAGATCAATGTAGAAAATGTTAACGAAAGGATAACCTGTGCCATTTTTCAGAGTAACCAATGAACTCGTCTATGGATGCTTTGACGGCCGTGTTAACAAGAATAGATGTGGGTTACTCCGTATCCAAGATATTCGACTTTTAATTTACTCCAATTTTCACTAGAAAAAAAAAAACTGCACATGTTATGAAACTGGTGTATAGTTCTTCATGTCCGTAGCAAATACTGTCACAAGTCTAAGTGTCACTAGAAAACAGTGAACACACCTGTGCTTGCAAGACCAAATAGCCTAGGTCTACACACGTGCGATGAGATCTTCTCAGACCTTTCTGGCGAGCTCGGAAAAACACGACGTTGTTTTGCCGAGAAGTTACGATTGCATATGTTAATTATTCCGTTATTTAAAAAGAGACAGAGGGAAAAAAACACACACAAAATTAACCTTTTTCGGATTTTAAATTGATCGAGTTAATCGATAACCTAGCATCGCTTTAGATAACTCGAGTGCCGAGACCCTCTAGTTCTCCAGGGTGGGTTTTTTTCTCACACCGCATACAGGCACTGAAATTCAAGCCCGTAGCAACGGTTTTCAAAGGGGGCAACCTCCAAAAAGAGTTGACAAGCAAAAATGAATAAATAAATAAATAAAATAAAAATAACAACCTGTGCACCACACTGTAAAATCCTATTTCGGGGGGGGGGGGGGGGGGATAGGCTTCGCCTAACTTTTAGGTACATTTTGATTTCTTTTAAATGTTTGACTTTCCGTATTTTGAACCTTCCCGCAACAAAAAGTGCGGGAGAGCTTCCAATGCAAATCAAAACTAATAATATATTAAAATTATAACAAAAGATTACTTTTTAAAGAAAAAGTGAGCCCCCCTCCCCCACATACTACGGGGACATTTTGAACCTTTCTCTTCGTTGCTTAAAATATCCCCATAATATAAGGAGATAAATATTCTCTTCTGGCTATGCACACTTTTTAAAGTTTGTTACTTTAGAAGATGGACCAAAAATGGCATAGCCGTACGTTCGCCGGAATCTTCCGATGATAACAAAGTGAAATCTTTCATGTTACGTGTGAGTGGTCGAGGCCCGGGGCCGGGGTTGTGAAGGTACACGGAGGAAAGCAATAAGCAAAACGCTATCTAGAGAGCAGAAAGGGCAGAGATTGAAGTACTTATTTTATTTAAGATAGTAGCCTAAAAATATCTATATTACATAAAAAACATTCTCTCTCTCTACCTCTTTCTGCAAAAATAAAGGGGGTTCCAACACCCGCAACCCCTCCCTCCCTGGATCCGCCAATGGAGTTAAAATTCAACCATTACGATACCTGCACGCTTAAGCCTCTTTTAATTCAATCTGATTAAAATCAGATCTTTGTTACGCTCTGAAATTCTGATGGTCGCTGTACAAAGATCTGAAGACATCCCATTGAGGGTCCTGTCAGAATGAACTTTGTATAAAGTTCACGACCTTATACTAGCCAATGAAAATTTATCTCTTCCGCCAATCAATGATCGGGATATATAAGGGGTATGGTCATAGCGTAAACATGGCGAAATAAGAACGAAGTGGGTGAAGTGCAGATCGGTTCTTTGTATAAAATGAAATAGCGAGTTAATTATGTTTCATGTACAAGCAGAAATGCAGAATTCTACTTCCGATTGGTTATGGGATGTCACTCTCTCAGCTGTTGCAAGTCTATGGCGTGTTGTCCCGTTGTGACACTCAAGACGGAGCACCAGACAGGTGACAGGTCAACAAAATATTTTATCGAGGTAATGATGATAAAGGTCAATCTAGAAAATCTCACACGAATTTTTTTAAATAATATATATTGATCTACGGGCTTTACCTGAATCTTGGGGATTGTCCGATGTCAAAGGCAGTCATAAGTGAAAAGAACATATTGCATTTTAAAAACAAAGTGAATGTTGACACAAGTTACAAGTTGCATTTAGACTAGCATTTTCATAAAAAACAAGGTATCTTACACACAATAAATGTAGCATTAAAAAGAAAAATGTTATGTTTCTGATTAAATTTCATTAATTATGATACTTGATTTGTAGTTCAATCTTATTTTTATAGTTCTTCTCACATGTATTCATTCTTTGTCTGGTGTGTATACATTACCACCATAATCCTTTTTTTGCACCACTGTCCCATAGGGCCTGTCAGTCAATAAAAATTGCAGACCCCCTCCCTAAAATTCTAAACCCCCCTGGCACATCAAAACATTTTTGAACTTTCATTGTTTAGCATACACAACATGTCAGAGCTTTCTAATTAAAATTTACATACTTTGTTCAAAATTCTTTAAGATTTCCTGCAACACTGCTCCATCAAACAAATCCTTTCTATGTGTTACTTTCTAAAATAATCCCAAGAATTTATCCCTTCCAGCAGCTTAAATTATTCACCTCTGTTTATATTTACAGCTAAACATACATGGCATAAAAGACACTAAAGATTGTTATACTTATTTCTGATTACAAATAAAAATAGTTATTGCTGTTGTTGAAAATAATATTTGTAGCATCCATTTCAACCCCCATCATTTACTTGTTTTTCATTGTTTCAGGGAGCAGCGAAAATGATGACAGACCCTGCCAGGCTCTGGTTTTTCAAACTAAACCCATTGATATTCAAAACCATTTCTGTACTCAAACATTATTCCTGTGTTCTCACATACCACGGAAGACAATGAACAAGAAAGTTGTTATACCTGTATTGTGCATGTTTTCCCCCATTTTAAGCTTGGTGGACTGTCAGGAGAACTATTGTCATATCAATCAAAGTATATCTATAGACAGTGGTAAAAAGTTAGACAGTAGCAAAAAGTTAAAGTTGTTTATTTTCAAGAAACTCCAATTTGTATTAAAACAGACTTGCATCAATGAACATTCATTGTTTAGAATACATTCTACAATCATCACACATGTCCAATGGGAACTGGAGAGACAAGTATGCAATAAAAGAAAGTATACAATTTGCATTTTTTTTTTGAAATATATAATTGTAATAAAAAGTTTTATGAATTATGTTTATCATTACTTATTTAATATTATAAAATTCAGGACTATAATGGCTGCTGACACTGGTGTGATGATTTTCTTTTCATTTTAATCAGAGACAGCTAATGAAAACACATTCAAAATTTCAAGACAATGAGGGCATACATATTTTTTACTGCTTCAAAGTAAAGATCATTATGTCTTTATGTTCCTTTTTTTCATAGGAAGGAATGCTGTCTTTTCTAACTCAGCTTTTCTACTTTTCTTCTTGAACCAGATGTAGACCACTGATACAGGAAATAGAGGATACTGTGTTTTCATTTCCCACACAATGGCACTGTATACAGTATTTTGGAGAGCAGAGGTTAACATGGCAGACTTTTCTCCACAAAAATAATGCACAGTGTCAGTCACCTAAAAAATTTATACATTCTACGTTATTTCAAGGAACATTCAGCATGTACAATGTATTTAAATTTGCAGGTTAAATTAATAACATACCTTACACCCAGTTAGCATGATATTTAAACAAAAAGTGTGGGTGTGATACAAATGCCCCACCAGGATCCATGTTTTAAATACTTAAATGTACCTCAAGGATGTGAAAATAATGAACGTAGATGAGACAAAAGTAGAATATATCATTTTGCTGCTCTTATTTTCTTGGGTCATTTCCTGACTTATAATTTACAAGGACATCATAAAACTATCGTGACAGAAAAGTGGTAACATAGTCACTGTGGAGGCTAAGAGAATACAAATTTACTTAATATCTTGTCAATGAGTCACATAAAAGTAAGGTCATTTTTAAGTGTGTGTGTGTGTTTGTTTTAACTCCACAGAACAGGGAAAAAAACAAAATCAGGAGTTCTGAAATTGATTCTTTTGGTTGGAATGGCCTAATTGATATATCAATTTTAAGACTTTACAAATGATAAGTAGGTGTATGTGAAAAATTATTACATTTTATAGTATGTGCACCACAAACCTTCCAGTCCTTTCAGAAATTCTTGCAGGCATGGTGATAAGTCAGCTAATGTGTCACTTACAACATTAATAATAACAAACATGAATTAAACAAACAATATGTAAGTTTAAAGTACTTTCTATTTCAATTTGAATTTGTTAGGATGAGATTAATTAAAGAATGAGAATGGGGTAAGAATTACAAAAACAGAAGTAAAAAAAAATTAAAAGCTTGCACATTTTTTTTTTGTTATGAAGTTTTATCTTTAGGGGTGACTGTTGTGTCATTATAATAGGAAGTACGTGTATTTAATCATCAAAACAACCGAGGTGATTTAGATGATGTACATGCAAGCTTTAACAGCTGTTTAGACAATTTTGTGAACTCTGTAATCGTAACTCATACGAAAAAAATTTCAACATTAAACTTACATTTCCATCGTAGATCTGACACCTGATCTGAAGTTTTCTCGCATTGTTTTTGGAATCATGACCATCTCAAATTTTCTGCAAACTTTCAGAGTCGGAGGGAACACACACATATTGCACATCTATTAAAATCTTCCGTATGGTCACTTTTCCTCCACTGTTTATATTTGTTTGCATCCATATCGATCAATAAACAACGCAAATGTTGCTCAGATGAAAAATTTCAACAATGTCATGGGCGCCGCCATTGCGTATTTTCGGAACTCGTTTTCTTCGGAATGTTTCGCGTAAAGCACATCCAAAGAATCTGCCAACGGCGTTTTCATTGGATAATCCAAAGTTCATTCTGACGTGACCCTCAATGGGATGTCTTCAGATCTTTGTACAGCGACCATCAGAATTTCGGAGCGTAACAAAGATCTGATTTTAATCAAATTGCTTTTAATTCTGTTGTTAATTTTAAAGGCTACATTACAATTGTGATAGATACCTAGATCAACATTTCATATTCATATCATTTTTTATCATAACAGCCTAATTAAGCAGACTTAAAAAATGATGCACCACATGTGCACCACAAACCTTCCAGTCCTTTCAGAAATTCTTGCAGGCATGGTGATAAGTCAGCTAATGTGTCACCTATAACATTAATAATAACAAACATGAATTAAACAAACAATATGTAAGTTTAAAGTACTTTCTATTTCAATTTGAATTTGTTAGGATGAGATTAATTAAAGATTGAGAATGGGGTAAGAATTACAAAAACAGAAGTAAAAAAAAATAAAAGCTTGCACATTTTTTTTGTTATGAAGTTTTATCTTTAGGGGTGACTGTTGTGTCATTATAATAGGAAGTACGTGTATTTAATCATCAAGACAACCGAGGTGATTTAAATGACGCAAATGCAAGCTTTAACAGCTGTTTAGACAATTTTGTGAACTCTGTAATCGTAACTCATACGAAAAAAATTTCAACATTAAACTTACATTTCCATCGTAGATCTGACACCTGATCTGAAGTTTTCTCGCATTGTTTTCGGCAAACTTCGACAATTTTTTTTTTATCATTACAGCCTAGTTAAGCAGACTTAAAAATGATGAAAATTACAAGATACATGTACAAAAAATAAATTTAATTACACCTTTGTAAAATCACTAAATCTAGAAATTTCTTTAAATTTCGTTTAGAAACACATGGATATGATCCACGTATTGTAGTCCTTTTTTTAAAGGACAGCAACTTTTTTTTAATATGTTGATAAGAAAAATAAACGCAGATATTGATACACTAAACTGAATTTTTTCAGTAGCAAAAGCTCTTTAATTAAGCAAATAGGTGAGCTTCAGATTATATTTTTTTCATAAAATACACTCGTAGTTGGCCCAAAGGGGTCCTTTATTAGGTTAGTTTTCGTGTTTGCTAAAAGTCTAAGCTTTGCTTGCTCACATCCAAAATCCTTTTAATTTTTTTTATACAATACAATCCATTACCGCATGTTTCGCTCCATCGTTCCATCAAATCTAAAATTTACAAATGAGGTACGAGTGTAAATATGTGCATTTATTTTCTTAATTCGAAGCTTTCAACTTAATCTTTTCTTTGTGAGACAATTGTGATCAGACAAAGCTGACAGGATAATATAGAATGGGTTTTTTAACACTTTTGGATAAAATATATAAAAGTTACCTTTATTGTTGTGGACTGCCTTATTTATGGATCAATAAAAAAAATAGCTTTAACTGGCTTACTTCAATTATTAAAGATATAGTAAGAAACCAATTTGTGCAAAAATGGATTTCTTGTAGTATTGTCGATAACTCACCTGATTGTATAAATTACAGAATTTTCAAAAAGAAAATTTGATCTCAAAAGTTATCTGTAGAGTGTAGCTTAAGATTTACAAATTACACTCACAAAACAACAAACATGCTAGTTCATCTTCCGACTGAAATGTGCAGGGGAAATAATTTTGGTAGAAATTTAAAAACATGTACAATGTTTAATTGTTATAGTATCGGTGATGGAATTCCTTATATTATGAAGTGCATTTATTTTTCAAACGACAGGAAAATGATTCTCCAGTAAAGAACTAATGAACGCAAGCGATATAGATACTTAAAAAATATCAAAGTTTATGTTAAACAAAAAACTGACTGCGCTTATTGAACCCACTATAACTGATTGTACATTTATATATATATATATATATATATATATATATATTTATTTATCCCTTACCTGTTATTTGTATATGTACATGTACTTTTTGTACAACCCCTCTTGCCAATGACAGTTATATTTCTTGCAATCAAAAAGTGGCCGGTCTCAAGAGGGGAGATTACCTTTTGTTTCTTACGTTTCTTAAGTGGCCGATGGTCGTTTTTCAGGGGTGGCCGCTTTTAAGAGAATTTTATGTGTAAGGAAATGTTAAAAATTCTTCCGGGACTTATAAATTCGGTTGATATTTAGGAAGAACCGGTTTTCAGGGGTTTGGGGGGTTGGAGAAGTTTCACTTTATCATCTATCACAGTCAAAAATTAAGGGGTTCGCCCTGTTTGTATGAAAAGTATATCATTATTCCATAACAAAGAAATATACTATAGGATATCATAATTTATTATAGTTTACTATATTTTCAGAGTTTTACTGTAAATCAAAGTAGCTTTACTATAAATCTCAAATTGTTTTATTTCATTTCCTTCAAGAGTTATATGCACTTTTTTGATATAAAAAGGGGAATATTACTTGTATTTATTACATACTTATTAAAAATACATAATTTTTTGCATATGAGATATGCCTCACATCACAATAGCCTTCACGGCTGATCATGATACGGCTCCTGCAGGGCTGAAATGGATTTGTAGGGCTGATATGAATATGCGAGGGATGATCAAAAAGTTGGCGAACTAATTGAATTACTTCCTTAAAAGAAATAAAAGGAGGTTTCAGTGTTCATTATTTTTTAAAGTAGTCCTCTCCGATTTTAATGCACATCTGCCATTGTTCTGCCTATACGCAAATCACGTGATCCAGGCGGTCACGTGACATGCTCCCTAGGGGTCTGTTGAAAGAAGCTAAGGGATTTTTCCGAGTCTTTTATTTCTTAACATGCAAATTATTTTTTATGAGAAACATACAGCCGTTCGTTGCTCGGGTACGACTGAGTCAACCATTTTTTTTTGTCACAAGTCATCTACATGTTGACGTCATTTTCACATTGTGACGTCACAATGCAAATTTTACATTTAAAGCACATTTTACAACAATTCCTAAACTAACATAATTGCCCTAAGTGAAGAAATTTTAATATAGAAAGCACAAAGAAATCCTTATCCTAACAAAAGTGATTCCATTCTACTACCGTGTAGTGTAGGGCGGCGCCGCGAAAATTCCATCGGCATCAAAAGTAAGTTTTTAGACCTGCCTAGATGGCCGAGCGGTCTCGCGTGCTGTTCCTGTACTGCTAGGAGACAGATTCCGTAGATCGAGAAACCAACCATGGGCTGGGGCGGAAGTGGGTATCCTTATAAAAGTGATTTTTTTGTGCTCTCTCTCTCTCTCTCTCTCTCTCTCTCTCTCTCTCTATATATATATATATATATATAATTATATATATATATATATATATACAGAGTATAGATTTTACATTACGTTCTCTTTCATTCTACTTATTGCTCGATTGATAACCAACCAATATGAATATTGACATTAATTTGATATTCATAAATACTTTCGTCTAAAAAGTTCTTTATTCTGTTGAAAAGGTTGTGCTAAGAAGAGAGTTTATGGTCTTAACTGTGACCTACCCTGCTCTGTGAACTGTCAAGAACATAGCTGCAACATAGTTAATGGAACATGTCTGGGATGTAAGCCAGGGTGGACAGGCGACAAGTGTGATAAATGTATGGCGTCAAAACATGAGTAATTATATGTCTCGAACTCTATATAATTTTATTAAAGTCTTTGTCAATTATGGACTCTTTTTATTGACATTTAACGGCACATTGGAAATATGGACATTTCTTATCATCATTATGTTTATTATCGTAATTATTATCATCAATATTATCCTTGGAAAAAAGTACAATGTAACTTTCCTTTTAACTTATTGAAAACTCTTCCGCAGAATGAGAAAATAAAAGAAAAATAGTACAGTAAGATATAAAAATTTTAAGGGCATACACAGTTATTCTTTGTTAAAATTCAAAAACATAACGTGAAGACAGACATTGCAATAAAATTGAAATATTCCTCAAGTTTTACACGATTATTAATAAATGCAACTGATACAGTCAAATTACGTATGATTTGTTTTCAATATAGGATTTTTACGACACTACTCTCGAAATATAAATAAAATTTAAAGAAATTATCCATCCTTCTACAATAGTAGTTGGTCACATCTTTTTTTTCAATCGTAATGGCATATCAGACAATTCTTAATTGCATGTTATAGTCTTTTAAACAGTGTGCCCTGTTGGATGGTATGGAGTTGGTTGTCAACACAGATGTGTTGGACATTGCCAACACAACGCCTCCTGTCATCATGAGTCAGGCAGTTGTGTAGACGGTTGTGCTACGGGATGGATGGGGCCCTTATGTAACAAAGGTTAAGCTATTCCCTTGTATTTCAAAACCATTTTCATTTCCATAGTTTTTTCTTTATAAAATCAATATATCTGGGGTATCTTTTTTTATAGTTGCCCAGTACCTTTCGCATTCAAAATCTCTAATCAGTGAACATTGTGCATGTATGAAACACTGCAAGAAGTCAACAAACATATTTCCATTCTTGTGTTTGATATTTTAATATTTTTTTTTTGTTGATGACACATCTGCTTCCCACCCTTTTAAAAGGATGGCTTAAACTAGATCACATGAGGAAGTATGAAAAAGATAAAGACAGTGTTAGTTTAAAGCTTAAAAAACACTGACTTAATATTTCAAAAAATTAAAAACAACTTTCTAAAATGAATAATAGTGATGATGTCACAACACTCGATATTGATTGGTTTTCCTATACAGATATTTCATTTCATATTATTTTGTATTCGTGATGTCATACTCGTAGCGAGTACAGTACCAACCAGATATAACCTAACTGAAAGCGGACTGAAGGCGAGGACAGACCGGGGTTCGCTTCCCGTGTTTGCTTGGGGTTTGCTCATGGTCTGCATGTCTGAATCTGTTATACACTTGATTATGTGATCTAGTCTGAGTCAATCAGATAGCTGTGAGCAATAGAGAAAATACGCGAGTAAATCAAGCAAAAATAAAGAGCTGATAACAAAAGCAATCCGATCGTAATAAAGGCTAAATGGAACAAAAACCATTCAATAAATAAATCACTAAATAGATAAATAACCGTTTTTTAAATCAAAATATTATGTATATTGTACAATGTACGTCTTTTATTTAATTCAACTACAGAGTGTGAATATGGAACCTATGGCCAAGGTTGTATTCATAAATGTAGTGGAAATTGCTTGAATAGTTCTCACTGCAACAAAACAACAGGCAATTGTGACTTGGGTTGTAGTCCTGGGTATATAGGATCTTTCTGTAATAGGAGTAGGTATTAGTAAGCATATTATGAATTTATCTGCAATTACTACATCGGAATTAACCCAATATACATCAGATCTTCCTATTTCTCCATTTTTTTAATAAATAATTTTGAATATATTTTTGACAGTCTGTTCTATTGGAAAGTTTGGAATCCATTGCAAAGAGACATGTAGTGGTCACTGCTTAAATGACACAAATTGTGATCATGTAAATGGAAGTTGCAACAAGGGTTGTGACAATGGATATACTGGTGATGGGTGCATCAAATGTAAGAAATACACAGGAGTATACTTAATGTTTTTAACATTTTTGCTTAATTTCCACAAATTTAAATGAAAATATATATTTTAACACATCATTATCTTTTTATCCATCATTTATATGTAGCTTGAAAAAAAGCCATACTTATTTGAAAAAAAAAAATCCAATATTCTGGATTTTAGTAATGAAAAAAAAATTGGTCACGTGGTACTGTGACATCATAAGTGTCATTCATAAAATAAACTGATCATAAGGATAAACAAATTAAATAGACTTGGTGTTTTAAACATTATCTTCACAGGAAAATATAACAAGCATTTAAACTCTTCAGAAAATGAAATAGAATGAAACCAAGGAAAGTAATAAACGGATTTTGAGCAATAATCATTTTCAATATTCCAGTTCGAATATTTTCTTTCATAGTCTTACCCATTCTTAATTTAATACAATATCTATATTAATTTAAAGTTCTCAAGATTGCTAGAAAAATTCTTCCCTCTTTAAGGAATGTAAAGAAAAATCTTCTCACATTCCTTTATGTGAACCTTTCTGTGTTCAAACGCCGTACAAGACATGTTACTAACTGTCAAAAATCTAATTATTCCCAATCTGTTTGTTAATGGGTACATTAGGTGCAATAATTGATTTCATTCAAAACAATTCTTTCGCTTGGCCAGATATGAAACATATGACGTCAGAACACTGGTGCAAAAACATTTCATTTTACTATACATATTGTAATATTTAAAATTTTGAATCTCTGAAATTTTTTTTTACCTTATCGAAGAAATATATACTGATTTAGATATCATGTAAATTTTCACATGTTCTATAAAGTAACTGAAATGAAATAAAAACCTTTATAGAATTTTTTTTTCTCTATTTTCTTATTTGATTTCTCCCTACGTCGCGGGTTCGAATCCCACTGTGGGACGTGGAGACCGGTCCTTCGGATGAGACCGTATAAACCGAGGTCCCGTGCCGCAGTAGATGCTGGCACAAAAAAGATCCCTCACTGCTCAATGGCCGTAAGTGCCGAGTATAGGACAAAATTTGCAGTTCTCCACCGGCAAGTGGTGGCGTCTCCATATGAGTGAAAAATTCTCGAGAGGGACGTTAAACAACAAACAAACAAACAAAACTTATTTGATTTCTTGATGTTACTGTTGATTATAAATTATGTGTATTATATGGATTAAATAAACATGTATTGTATATTGATGTATATTTAGTAACTGAAATCTAAAATTTGTTTCAGCATGTGAGAGAGGCTTGTTTGGCCCTGATTGTTCACAAAAATGCTCAATAAATTGTCACACTCCTAATGAGTGTACAATCACCGATGGGTCCTGTGTGTGTTCTCCTGGCTGGACAGGGTCACCACACTGCAACAAAGGTAATTTTGATTTTAAAAATGTAATTTACTGTCTCATTTTTTACAGTTGCCTGCAGGATGTATGGAGTAGTACCCTAAAGAATTGCAAGATTTCTCAAGTACATTTTTGCATTTTTCATTGCTTTGATACATTCGCAAATCTGTTAAGGCTGCATAAAGGGGGCGGGGCCTAAATTATAAGGGAAATGCTTACTGTGACATCACACATAAATAGTAATTCCTCACAATAACAGAAAATGAAATAATTTGCGATTTTAAACTGCATAAGAGTAATAAACTACATCAAAACTTACCACTGCATTCATTTTTATCGCTAGTTAAATCCCACAAAGCAAGATATAAACAAGTCACTGATCGCAATGCACTTGTTGACATGTCGTCATCTTGGTAAAAATTGACGCATTTTATGTGCAGTGAGAGGCGGATCAAGTAATTTCTTCACAGTGAAAAATGCAAATTATTATTAAACAGAATATTATTTGCAAATGTTAGGTAGACCATTAATACAAATCCGATACCTTTGTTTAGTGCCATTATTTAAAAACTATCGAGAGAATGTATTGAATTAATTCTACTGTGTTTTTTGTACAGGGTTTGCATGTTTCACGCCGCGTTGCTTCATTAAATCACCTTTTCACAAGGGCATACACTTTATAGATCTTGACCATTTTTTAAATATACATAATGGTTACATTTCTTAACTTGAAAAGTGCTGCTGCTTTCCTGAAATCGAGAGGATTACTTAATAAATACATAAAATACTATGTAAAGGTCACACATATTTCGACTAGAGCGAAATAACTTGAAATTAAACTAATAAGATGCGAATTCTATTTAAAGCAGCAGCACTTTCCATAAACTACAACTTATGTAGAAACAATTTATTACTTAAATTTTTAATTTTAACTAGGGTATGCCCTTGCGATGTTGAAATGTGTTCATGACCTACATACAGTACACATTACATACATTTATCACGTGACTGTCAAATAACGTGGCCAAACCAAATTCCATACAGAGCAGCGTATACAATGTTGTTTCAATTAATATTAAAGTCATGTGATAATATAGTAGCTTCTCAAAAATAAATTCAGTTTAAAAAGGTATGTATTTATGCACGTTCATATTCCATTGATTTCTTCGTAGTACGCCTTAACAGAGCTGCGTTTATTTTTTTACTGATCCTCAAAGATCGATCTTAAGTAAAAAGAATAAAACATTGATTAAATAGAATGTTTTTCTCCAAAAAGGATTTTCTCAATAGCAAATCTAGCATTTAATTTTATGGAGATTAAATCAAGTGTTATGTTTTGTACGAACGAAATTTAATTACAGTTATTCGTGTTATTTATATTAAGTATAATATAAAACATAACATATACTGCTCTATATCAGGATATTTGATGTATATCTTGATAATAATACTAAGATATAAGACTGACTTGGATTTATTTATGTATTTGTCATCGTTTCTGATTTGGTGCGATGATTGTTCCCCCTTGAAAATCGCACAATGAATTACTATTTTGGTTGATGTTCTATAATATACATAATATAACTACTATATTTGTTGAGACCCTGACATAACCAATACTTTGATACTTTAGTTACACTGGATCATTGAAACATTGCCCTACTATAAAACTTTACTCTAAAACATTCCTGCATTAACTTCAGAATGTGATGAGGGATTTTACGGAGAGAATTGTCACGCACACTGTAGAGATTACTGTATCAATGCTACGTGTAATAGAACTGATGGTAATTGTTTGGTTGGATTCATCAAAGGAAATACTTTTGAGAAAGGTGAGTTGGTTTTAATGATTATTTGATAAACTTCATTTAATCCTAAAATTTTAAGTGGTTGAAACTTCTTCTCTAGAGACAAAATTTCTTTAAGGAATAAATGTTTTATCAATTGTTCAATACTGTTTACGTATTTCACTTGGCTGTGTATTCTTTTTAGCGCTTTTGGCGGAAAGTTGCTTGCAATTCAAACACAATGCTATATGTCTTGCACATATGAACATAAATAAGAACATTAAGAAATGCGCTAAATCAAACCTACACTAACTTGTTCGAAAATCAACTTCAGCCAATATCGTATACGCTAAATATAATACATTTACAGTATGTGTTTACCATCCGTCTCTATATTTATTCATCCAATCATGAAAAGAGAATTGATATGATATAAATATATAGGCAAAAGATTCTTGTTGCTTAATGTTTGTATGGGCCGATGTCAGGTATAAATGTATAGGAGTTCACTTCAGACTATAAAATGGTAAGAACTAAAGGCCTGGGATAGGTTTTAATCTTTACCAAAAATTATCCATTCCGCTCCGGTCGATGACTTTAGGCTATATCTATACACGTATGTAATAATAGTTTTCTCAAACATTGTTTTAGTCTTAGTCAACGCTCTTAGTAGGTAGAGATAGGAGGAACATTTGGAATGGTCAGCAGATGCAATTTGAGTTCATTACCTCCAAATATCATTTGATAATTTTGTGTACTTTTCATTATAATGGTTATGGCAAGTTTAAACTGCCTACTCGATTTCTGGTTACTTAACAACAAACATTCTTGGAAATAATAAAATTATCTAAAATTTACAATTTTAAGATGAGACATGAAGGAGTAGTAGCTGACGTCAATATTGAGTTAAACTGTATATACATTATATGACATGTAATTGTCAATATCTTGACCACAAATAATATATTCTAGCTCAATTATCCAGACAAGCGCTTGTAGGGCTGAAAGAATAAAAGCACAGACATTGTCTTCACATTAAATTCTAAGGTAAAGGTATTTATATCCATTACAGCTCTTTATTGCAGGGAAAACCTGTTTCTAATAACAGAGATTGAATTATTCTAATTCAAGAACAAACCTTGCAATAAAGTTCCGATTGATTGCAGATTAATTAATTACACAAACTATACTATTTACATCCTCTTTATACACAAGCCTCTTCTTCAAAAAATAGATTAGATATTTTCTTAATGGGAGAATTTCAAACAGTTAAACTGTGAGATCAATTGCCTTTAAGCAATTTCTTTTTCTTTTTTTTTTTTAGTTTTACTTGAGACACATTTAATTTAATTTCTTTAATAAAATTTGTCAACTTTTATGAAGAAAGTAATCATTTTAATTCAAAACTTAATTTCAAAGTTTATGACATTTTAACCCTGGGCCGTACGCACTATCTGAGACCTTAAAGGACCGTAATTTTTACAAAAAATTATTAAGTTAAAACAATTTAACCAAAACCAAATTAAAGTATTCTGACTTGGATTTCCATAACAAATATTTTGGTATACAATACATATATAACGCCATTCAATTTGACAAAAACTTCATTGAGCACGATCTTTATGGACAAACCCTCGTATAGATATAAAATAAGATGTAATCAGATATGATGAATAAGGATTTGCTGTAAAATTATTCGACTCAGTGCATGCGTTATTTTTCAATAAGAACGCTTTGTCCATGGTTTTACTGGGCATCCCTAGTATATACATATATACTTTTAATGGTTATATCATTATTATCTCGTTAATTTTGAACCTTCTAGTGGCGTAAATGCAAGTTCTGCGATATCACAAAGTCAATTAAAAATTTGGAACATATGATTTCAAGCAAAATACTGGTTTCAAAAACATGAAATTAATTTAAAATACAGTCGCTGCATTATGATTATCATGACGCTTTGGAACATACTGACCATCTAAGGAAAAATTCCCACCATCTCATATAAATTATCTAGATCGTAATATGAGTCCACTTCACGTTCCAAGATCTGAAGTATTTGATCATTTCATCCAACCTTCATCACAAAAAACTCAAGACGGTGATGTTATCTATTCAGAACATGCTAAATACCTTAGTCTGAAGAATGTATGTTTTCTTTCTTCTTGTATTTTATAGCTGACGATTTTTATTAATTTTTAATTTCTTTTTATTGAATATTATCGTTGAGGTATCGCTAAGGATTGTCTATTAAAATAAAGTAGCTTATACATGTATGTATATTTTTACCATATTATTTTTATTCTATGCACTTTATGTTTAGACTTTTGCATTAGCGTGCTAGTTAGAGTATAAGCAATTTTAGTTGAGTTCTGACCTTCGTGAAACAAGAAAAATATTTCAGGAACTTAAATTATGTAACTCTTGACTTTTGCATTGATGGAAACGTGTTTTGAGTGTTTCTTGCTCTATTTTACCAATCTCTGCATTAGTACCTTCTCTTTAAGTGATTACAGTAAAACTCAGGTATAAAGAACTCGCTAATAAAAAAAAAATAAACTTTTTTCGAATCCCTAGAAGACTTTTCAGTATGTTCCTTGTATGGATATAAGGAAACTCGGTTGTAAGGAAGCAAAAGAACTGCGAACGATAGTATTGTTCTCCCGCCTACCTCCAAGTCAATTTTCAAAAGTTAACACATTTGAATAATTTTTCATATTTATATAGGTATTTATAATTTTTCATAAAACATTACCTATTTAGGAAAAGAAAGAAAAATTACTCTATAATTTTGGTAAAACTTGTGTTTTTCACTATAGAAATCAACAGAAAACATTTTCAAAACATCCCCCCCCCCCAGTGAAACCAAAATTCCTTTTTAAAGGTAATATGGATTGTTGTTTCACAAATTCATACCAAAGGTTTTTGTGTTTCACGGGGGGACGGGGGACATATATTCACAGACAAAGAGGGACACAAATGCTCATTTATTCACCAATTTCGAAGGGGTTTACAACTTAAACATTGTATTTTATCAATTACATATGTTTAATTTTATAGGCGTAAAACATAAAAAAAGATTTAAGAAACATTTATTCATATCCAAGAATTTTTTAAAATGTGCTGATGCTTTCAAGTCCGATTCTAATGGAAAACATCGCCTACCCCCTTATTAAAGGAGCTGGAACTAGGAGTACGCAGCTAGGTTAAGGACTCCCATATACATGTCAGCCTGTGCAGAGGTTCGGGAAAGCTATTATGACGTCACGTTAAAACAATACAAATGAATCTCGATGAATTAATAATATATGTTCTTTTTAAAACACACTAAATACTTTCGTTTCTCATAATTGAGATAAAGATAAATGGATGTGCAACTTATCTTGCCATAATAGCACTTAGCGTTTGCAGAATGAAAGCCAGCTTGATCTCGCTATACTTACTGAGATGACGTCATTTCTCAGTTTGACACGCAGTTTCTCTGTACTTGAGGCGTGGATCAAGCTTTTATCGTAGCTTGTAAAAATAAAAATAAATACGAAACATGCGTAGTCGGACAAAAAGAGAGACATATTCTGAAATATATTAATCCACATTTTATTGTCAAACTAAATTGATAATATGTAGACTTATAATAAAGCCGTAGGGAGCACATTTGTACAGTAACGTGCTAGAATGACAGGTCCAGCCCCTCGAAAATATCAAAAGTTCAACGATATCCGCTTTACTATCAATTCTGAATTTTTAAACACGTTTAGCTTTTATTCCTACTACTCTGAAAAGTGCTGGGAGCTGGTTGTGCATTGTTTATTTATTCCGTAATCTCATATTATTCCAGTGCGTATTACATTTTTGTCTGGAGTTTCTAGAAAGACAGCTAAATTTTTAACAATTCTCGAGCATGAGGAAGTTGCTCCCAGCACTTTTCGGGTTAAGGAACTTGTCTCAAAGAAAATAAAATAAATTTTATAGCGGAAAGATGCCCGTATATCGTTGAACTTTTACGATCTTTGTAGTTGTACATATATGGTCCAATTTTAAACCTGTCACGTGACAAACAGCTGATGTAAGCGATGTCACTTTGGCCGAACTCAGCAGAGACCCGATATATACAAATGCAAAGACCAAAATTCACATTTATCGAAACCACTGCTGTTAAAAAAATATTAAAAATTGTATTCATTTCCCCTGAATATATAAAGGCGTATATTTCATGGGCGTCCTTAACCTAGCTGCGTAATTAACTATTTAACACTGGTATTAAAATTATTAATCAATTACCATACAACTCTTCTTTGCATTCAACAAAGATTTTATGGCTAAATTGCCATTAGTATTGAATTAAATGGATGTAAAATGTAGGCTGGAATCGAGAGTTAGCGTGCGTAGTTCTTTGAGAATCCTGTGACTTTTTTGACTGAATTTTACTGTAGAAGTTACAATGTATGGACGCCGTCTTTTCAGTGAGGAAAAAATTAAAAGAATAGGCGGCTGCTTCAGATACAAGTGACTGAGTTTATATTCTAAAAGTGTTGACACTGTTCCAAAAAATGTCTCAAGTTTAGGAAGACTAATTTTCCGACAATGTTACCTTCGTAACATTTATGAAATTTCATCATCCATTTCAGCTTGGGATTACTGTATCACTCTGAGACTATTTTCCGTTCTAAAGTTAGGATGTATCCCTAGAAGAAATAATCCAATCCATAAAACACTTTGGCTTTTTTTAATCTCTCTCACCCCCTGTACTTTTGTGCTAACATGGTTTTCCTTATTTTCATAGATCCTTACTATGAGAGTCTTTCTAAAGAGTCAGCAATTTTGTCCATTTTTTTATGTTTACATCGTTCGCAAATGAAAATGACTCTCTACAAACTTGATTGATTACCATTGACGTAATGTTTTTGCCTTATAATTAACCTTTGTTTGTTGTTGTTGAAAGGAAATATCTGCACGTTTCGTAATCATGCCAGTACATGAAAAAGTCCTGTTCAGTATCAGTGCATAATAGTGTTATGAATGTTATTAATTGTAGGATATTACTCGACCGCGTTTTGTAGAAGTAAATATAACTGATTATTTCTTATTATGTTAAACTGAAAAATACCAGGACATGTGTAACAGTCATTGAAAAGAATATTTCAAAATATTTTCCATTTTAAGGGGAAGACAGAAAACCATTAGAATCATATAAGAAAGAATATTACACAGTGGGTGGCATTTTGGGAGCAATGGCAGTCGTTGCGATTGCGATAATTGCTGTATTATTTATACGGTACTTATTTACACTTTTATTCTTACATTTAGCTTTTAATTTATTTAGTCAATTTAATTTAAAAGATGCTTACTGAAAAGTAAAATTATCCTACTCCATTAATAAGATTTCAAATTTACAATAAATTTTGACATTACAGCAAGACAAAATATCGATCAGCATCAGTAATGAGTGAATATTTACAATAGGTAGCTTGCATTCTTGATTAAAAAAAAAGGGGGGGTGGAAAGATGTAAAATTCTCGAATTGGACGTAAACAACATACAATCAGTCATAAATGAATATGTTAATAAAATAAAAAGAAACACATGTAATTATTTATAAACTGACGGCAATTGTGAAATTATGCAGGCAAAAGAATTTCTTCTCATTACACTAGTAGTTACGCAATCATTTATGTTTTTTTTTTTTTTTTTTTTTTTTTTTTTTTTTTTTTTTTTTTTTTTTTTTTTGAAGTGGAAGGAAAACGTTCAGCATCTGCAGAATGCCAAAAGATCGGAATATTTCCACAGAAATCGATGGAGAAGAAGGAGGACATTCAGATGCAAATAAAATTGTACAAAAAGACACAATCTTGTATCAGGAATTGCATGTGATTGAAAACGAGAGTGCATATCAGGAACTACATTATGAGAAAAACCCTTATGAGAATCTTGAATCAACTGTTAATTAAGATAAATGTGAAGCTTTTTGGAAATTCGTAATTGCTATAGGAATAAGTAATGAAAAAAACTTCTTGACTATGTAAATTGTATTCAAAGAAATGTGTGAATAAACCATTAGATAACATTTCAAAACAGTTCAATCCTGAATTGTACAGAAGTAGTTATGTAAAATATGTAATACCAGTTCTATGCTTCGGAACAATGTGTAAACCAAAGTGTATAGTGTTTTTTTCTAGAGCGTTTAGCATGGTAAAATGCAATGTCCCTTTAAAGTCGTGCAATGTCTTTTCTGTATATGGTGTAATGCCCTTTTGCACTGCAATGCCCTTCTTTTAATAAGAAAAAGATTTTTGCTAGAAAAAATGGCAAAATACGATTTCAGATACACCAAACAAAATTTGTATGTTCCCATGCAGAATATTCAATGCGTCCTAATTAATTCCTGGTTTGTACAATTCGTGCCAAAGAGTTAAATAAGGGCATCATATGTAGATGGATGGCCACAGGAAATCCTTCTCGCTCGAACGCACACATTAGACAAGTATCTTAACCTTAAATTAATTATTCAATCAATTAATAAGGCTGTGCATGGGGAACCACTGTGTCTTTATACATGATAAAACTCCTTTTTAGTTGCTCTTATCTCTCATAGGAATTTATTTCTAATAGGAATTTATAGAGATAAAAATTAGACAATGGAAAATTATGAATCTCATTGAAAATTCTAATCTTTTTGAATTCATTCTTAACTTATTCAGTGATGTTTCGTTAACAGATCATAACAATCAAAACAGAGATTTATCAAAGTGTAAGCAATTTTCACACTGCTGATACTGGGACAGTTATTACACCTATAGCATGATCACCACAGTTTCCATTGCCTCGATCCTCTTTTGTACAGAACCTTTGTTTGTGGCCATGCTCATCACAGTATCAACAAACTACTTTGTTATCGTATCGGCTGGAACGTAAAAAATGACCTTGTGCTCCACAGTATTAGCAAGTCTGCACGGAAGACGGCTGTTGACGATGCTTAAGTAGTGTGCAAAATTATTTTCTATCAACCTTATTGTACTTCGACCCCAAGGCCCTCTATTAGGCGTCCTAATAAATACAATGTAGAAATAAGTTGTAACAAGTGTTGCAGCTCAGAAAGAATCCAATTGCATAGTCTTTTATCTGATAAATATTTAATTGATTTCAACTTAAAAACTGAGAATTTGGATGCATGTGTACTCAAACCAAACACTCTTTTGAATCTAAATGAAAAAAAAAAAATTCACCAACTTCCTCCAACATCATACACTCTTGATAAAAAAAAATCTACGTAAATATATACACTTGGCCTTATTAAAAATGTTTGAATTTTGTACATTTGAAAGTGTCACAATTCGCCAAAATTAGTTGAATCAAATATATGGAGATAACGAACAGTAATTAAGCTAAAATGCCCATAAAAAAGTACAAATTAGGAGCAGAGCAAACACGGACCTCTAGAAACAGGTGGGATCAGATGCCATGGATGAGTAAGCATCCCCTGCCGACCGGTCACACCGAACTGGTTTGTATTTTTAAGATGAGCAAAATGTGAGCATATTTTTGTATGGTGAAAATATCATAAATGTAAATGGATAATTATACTTTTGATATAAAGGTCAGGAAGGGAAGGGCAGATGGTGGACTTGTTACATGGAGCTCTTCTGGTCTTTGGCCAGTAGATCTAAAAAAAAAATATGAATACTTTCATTAAATGTCTGTAAGTTGGTTTAATCATATTTATATGATGGAACTCAAACTGTGAAAATATGTGCATATACGTCTAAATCCCTGCCAGTCACATGCAGCAGATGTGCCACATGGTTCTATTTCACACGTTTTTAAATGCGTCATTTGAAAATTTTTTAAGCCCTTGATTTTATTTGTTATTTGATTTGCCATTGTTTGTTGAACAAGGAAATATTCTAATCCTTGCTGATGACACCACAATGTATTTTCATGGTAACAAAATTTCACATGTTGAATCAATTCTAAATCAAAACCTCTATCAAATTCAAAACTGGTGTCATCACCATCCTATGATTTTTGAATACTGACAAAACAAAGTTTTAGTTAATGGGAACACTAAAAAAAAATCAAAATTAGCAAATCCTAAAACTCTCCGGTCATTTCTTGGAAAGCGTTATGATGTAGAAATTATTAGATTATCTTTCGGTGAACCTGTCGTGTAGATCTGGTTTGCAAAACTCTTTTACATTAATTATTAACTCTACGAAAAAAAGGTAACTCCACTACCTACTACAAAGTTATTTGATAATGCTTTTATTTTGCCATCGATCAATGTATATTCATTTGTGGTTACTGGCCACTAAGCATGTGAATAGAATCTACAAACTTCAAAAATGAGCAGCTAGGGTCATTTTAAATGAAAAATATTATGCACCTTCAGTACCTTTATTAGGATTCTGGGCTTCCTGTAAAATGTAGCATAAAGAACTATATAGGGTTTCTGTCATTTTCGGCCGCAAAATTTCGACGTAAAAAATATTGCACAATTACTTTTTTTCTTTTTTTAAATAATTTCTTCCAACAGGTGCTTTTTTTATTGTTGTAGCACGATGATTTAAAGGAGATCCGAAATCTGTAAACCGCATGTTTTTCAGAAATGACGTTTTCAGAGCAAAATCGGGGGCAACAAGCCTTGAGTTTAACATGAGCGACGTCGTGAACAAGAATGATATTATCACTTAAAATGTGGTTTTTAATAAAGAATTTTAGTTTTAAATATCAAACTTGTTCACGAAGTCGCACGTATTGAAAAAAGTTTGAAACTGATTACAAGCATATACATGTACATGTATGTATTTTGTTATCCGCCATATTGAAAAAAATGCATTTTCACGGCATAGATGTCACGCGTTATATTTATCTATTCACCACGTAAAATAAACATACGATATTGTTAATGTGTAAATAGTTGTTGTTAACTTATTACTTGTCACTTTTTAAAATTTGATTTGTGCACATCATATGGAGTAAATAAATAAATCGAGATCGATATTCTATCCTTCCTTTGTCAAGTACGCAATGTCATGGTCATGATATGAAAAGAAAGAAGTTGGCGGATCTTACATATCTGTTTGTGTCTACTTTTACAAACCAACAGAAATGATTACGGTATATACCTTTTTTTTTCATTTTATAACGAAGATTTATATTTGAAAGAGTCTAAATCTTTTAAATTGGCCTACTTTAGTTCGGCAATTTAATATGTTTTAATTATTGAATAATAATATTGATAATAAACATATTGACGTGTTATAGTAATAAGATATCCTAGCCTATATTTTGAATTTTTAAAATTCAGTTGCAAGCTTTTATAAACGACTGAATAATTAAACAAGCGAATCTTTTAATAAAATGATTCCATCATTTAAACAATTTTGAACAGTCCCGTCGACCACGGGTTCACGATATTGAAAGGAAGTTGTTCGTAAGAAAAGTGAAAAATTACTCTTCCTTTCATAAAGAGTTGGTAAAAATAACAACAAATCAAGACAGTAATTACTTCAGCAAAATCTTTGAAAATGCTGGAAGTTAGTTGAAAAAGAAAATGTATATTTGCATAAAATATACCTAAAATATTTTTAAAAAGTTGATGAGAAAAATTAAATATTTAAGGTTCACATCACTAGGGCGGCGGTATTACATATTATGGCCTAGGTCTTGTGAATATTTTTATCTTCCATATTTTAGTCTATGTACTTGTGTTGTACAATGAAATGACAAAACCATTCTTTATTCACATTTTATCAGAAAATGACGTAGTACAGTGTGACGTCATAGTTGTGCGCCAAGCATAGTGCGTTAGGCCTAAATGAAAATTATTGTATACTGTATATGTAGTACATTTTACAAAAAGACATTTCTTCATTAATTTCATGATCATGTCAATTTATTGGTATCGGTTGACATGTGCATGTTATAGCCTACACATGTGCATATTTCAACACTGAACTATTGATTTGTATTGTAGTGCTGCGGCGTGATTTTTAATAACAGTTTGAGAAAAATAATACCATTTGTTGTGAATTGTGACAAATTTTAATTGGATCAATAATTGATATAAAGAATTCAAATCATGATGAAGTTGTTTCTTCATTTCCTAAAAAGTTATTGAACGCTACGAAACATTAAAAATTGATAGTTGTAGGATAGTGTGATTTAATGTTTTGGCCGATCATTTGATTTTACCATTAAACGTTTTGTTTAAGATCTATACACTGTACGTGTTTGTGTACGGATATTTATTTTATTAGATGCATTTTTATATATATTGTGTTGATGATTTTTGAATTTTGAAATATGCATTAAAATTGTTCATCATCAGAGAATTTTACGAACAAATATTTAACTGAAATTGACCGAAGTTTATCCTGTATGAATGCGTCGTTAGTGGGTAACTTCGACCAATGTTAAGGGACACGATACAATGCAACTTCCACTAGAAGGAATTCATGGTCGTACATACGAAAATTATTAAAAGAACTATTACGATGCATGTATATATTCAATTCTAATTCTACATAGGTGAAAACTCATCTTTTCGTTAACATGCATGAATGTGCATCTCTAACATGCTTTCACCATCTATTTTTTTTTTAGCCTTGCGTTACATTTTTAATATGCTAGCAGTAATGCAAGTTAACCAATACACATACCTTAGGAATCAAACGCGATAAAAATAATATGAAGGCAATGAAATCTGAGAAATAAATAGTTTTCCCTTAAAAGCTGATCATAGCTTACTAGATCAAACCTTCAATTAAAAAATCGGTCGACATTACACCATCCCATTTACTATTAATGAGTAAACCACAGCCCTTTTACAGAGTCTAGTTGCAATTGCATACATGTATCTTCTCAGTTGAAATGGTGGCGTTATGATCAATACAATGACACTCTTAGACATATTTAATTGTTCACAGAAAATAAATCAGACACGTAGTGG